AATTATGAGCAGATTTTACCAGTTTGCAATCTACAAAATACCTTTATCTGTTTTGCATGTGCAGTAAAATATCAGTAGTCCTTATCCAAAGAGGAGGGTGTCTTAGATATCTTCAGGATTTTAGAAGTTTTATTTACATTATTTATATAACAAAGATATTTCTTTGCAAAATATTTTCATCAAATGCTGCATACAATTCACAAAACACTTAAATTGAAAACAATGTTTAACAAACACGGTGTCCCAGAAAGATATATTGGCTCATTGCAAATTTCAGACTGCAAATGGTTGCTTGTGACTTTGAAATCGGTTTTCAATATTAATTTCATAGACTGGTATACAAAAGGAAAAAAAAAAAAGAGAAAGGTTTTTGGCAGGTTCTTTCTCAATAATATAGATATTTATTTTCTAACTTGATAACATCTCCATCTGCTTGGTTACAAGTTAGAGCTATTAAGATTTTGTTTCCGCTTAAATACAACCTCTAAGAAATGTAACGTCATGTTAAAACAAGATTTGTTTTAAAGCAAATAGGCAGTTCATCGACTAATACTTCGACCTTCCGTGTGCTTTTTGATCAACCAAACAACAAATCTCACACGGCCAAATCAATGTCTTCTTATTTTCACCTTCGTGGTATTAAATCAGACACGAGTACAATAAAACGGCGAAACAGTTTTATCCTCAGTGTCAGTACTTTAGGGACACAAATATCGACACTGAGGTGTGAAAATCTCACTTCGTGTCTGCACTGAATCACGTCTAAAGCTGATCTGTCTGTCGACCAATAGAAATGGAAGCACATGTCAAGTAACCTAAGACCAAATTTGTCCACTTTTCTTGGATTCAGCATTCGTCTCAAATACTTGCATCAGTCAATGAAAAGGTACATCGTACACCACATACTAAATCGCTAAAAATGTCAACACCGAAGTGGGTGGGGTGGGATGCAAAGCATCTTGTTAAAACTGCTAACGCCTTGGGGTAAAACAAAGCCAGAGAAAGCCCACGGTAACGTTTTGTTCAGAAAGTTATACATTTAAAAACGTAAGGTGAAAATGCAACTTATGACTACAGCCAACGTATTTACTCACTTATAAGCCGAGTCCAACTGCAAAACTGATAGACCCAGATGAGGCGTTGCATGTGTCGGCAGATCTACGTAGGTGCAGTTTGTTAGAAGTAATCGTAAAAACCCTGATATGCAGGCGCATTATCCAAGTACATATCAAGATATTTGTTGTTTGCAGTTTGGCTCGACCTATAAACGATTATATGCGGTATGTATCCTCCGTTTTGGTCGTTTGTGCAGGTTTTCTCGAGTTTGGTTAATCCTCAGGCGTCGACAATTTGAGCTATTTGTGATGCATGGTGTGTCTATTAGGACTCGGTTCGCGATGATTTTTTTTTCTGTAAGTACTCAGCTTTCCACTGTATCCACACAAAAAAATACTAATAAAGCATGCGTCCGTCTAAAAGGAACTTCGAAGATCAACTCTGGGTGAAATTCTTGTATCTGAGAGGCCGAATTGTAAACAAAGCGTGCAGTGGATCACTGATTTCACTTCCGGACCAGCATTATTGGCTGCGCAATGTCGCGAAAATGCAGACCGACAAGCACACGATAAAGTTCGTATTCTAAATAATAAGCAATTACCTTTGCATTTTTACAAAAAATGCCTAACTAAAATGAGAGACAAATAAACATGCTCCAACAGAAGACCATTGCTGCATTCAGATACTGAATTGGACGTAATATTTGTGACGATTAGGGACTTTCCACATAAACACAGTCGTCCCAGATTTAGTGGTCTCCGGCGCTCGCCTTCACAGATCACTGCCATCTCACCGCTGCCCGCATGGGTTCGAGTCTCGGGCTAGGCCATTGTTGGTATGTGAGAAGGCTTGCCACTCGCTTCTCGTGGGTTGGTTAAACTTCACGGGATTTTCCAAAGTTCTTTCTACGTCAAATAAACTGACCACCATGTGTGTGTGTGTATATATATATATATATATATATATATATATATATATATATATATATATATATATATATATATATATATATATATCCTATCATGTGTTGGAAAATGGCGTTATACCCATAACAACCAACCAATCAACCAACTTGCCACACAATTTTCATTCATATTTCTCTACAGAATAAATATTCTGATCATTATTATTTTGAGGTAAACATGTTTACTTCAATGTGAATGCAGGATATTTGTATGGTATTTCAATTGGAAATTTCTAAACACTTTATCAACATTTAATGTTTTGAAGAGGAGACTGGCCTATATCCTGGCTATATTATTGTGTCTTAGCGTTTTATATTCGTTTATTTTAAAAATTGTTATTTCCTGTCTTAACGTCCTAAAGGGAGTCAGTCTTATTGTTGTGTTTATTTTTTTTATATGGCGGGATTTATTTATTTAGATTATTTCCTGGAATTTAAAAAAAAAATGCTTATTAATACTTCTTGGACTATTTCATTAATTTGGAATTATAATGAACTGAGTCAAAGACATTTTGGATTCTATTATTGTGATACAACAAAAGACTTTACATATCGCCACATTCCAGGCCAATGACATGTTAGCACATTCGAGACTACATGTACATCAACACATTCAAAGATTGAATTTATTTGGAACACCACTGGCATTCAGTTGGAAATTCATACATTTGGAACTGTGATAGGGCTATTTGGGATTGAAATCACATTATTGTAAATTCTATTCATATTTGCACCATGTATTTTTAGCAAATAAATTTGTTGAATTTTTCAGAACTGGTTTCCATTTGCTCTTTTGTTACTTACTTTAAGGCCATAGAGTCGTAACATTACATGCATACATACATACATACATACATACATACATACATACATACATACATACATACATACATACATACATACATACATACATACATACATACATACATACATACATACATACATACATACATACATACATAGTGTTGTTCCGATTATCGATTATAATCGATGATTAGTTGGTCGAGCGAACCAATAGGATAATAAATTGGGAAACTATAAACGATTGTGTGAAAAGGGAGAATACTTCTTTTCAGATGCATGCAAAATGCAAAGATTAATAAAACTCCTAGGCAAATGGTAAGATGTATAGGACTTCTAATCTACTACCATCAAACTAAATAATTTATTCCTTTCACTACTTACAAATATAAAACATACCATACTCTGTAGGTACAAACTTTATTAAGAACATATTGTCATGATTACATGATTTTGATGTTAAATCTTAGAGTAAATAAAATGTTTTAAAATATGATTTGCTTCAGTTTAAATTTAAAATCCTTTTTTTAGTATTTGTAAATAATGACAAACAAGAAAAGCATGTCCTTCTTTTCTGTAAATGAAAGGGGTTGGGGAATGCAACGGTTTGTTAGTTACATAAAACTGATCAGCCATAAGAAGCTGCTTTCATTTAATAAAATTGAAGAACAAAAATAACATATTCGAAGAAAATGTAATATTTTTATCTGATTAAAGTATAAATGTTTTTAAAAGTGATTACTCAGGTACATATATTAACATTTTGAATTCTTGAGCAAAGATATAACTGCATAATAAACAAAAAGTAAAATTTGCTCTTAATAACCGAATATAATCGATTATCAGTTGGTTAATTGAGATCGATTATCGATTATGACAGTCTGACCGATTCCCATCACTACATACATACATACATACATACATACATACATACATACATACATACATACATACATACATACATACATACATACATACATACATACATACATACATACATACATACATACATACATACATACATACATACATACATACATACATACATACATACGACTTTTTCTCTTAACCCATATATTCCTTCGATTTTTTTAATGCTAATTTTGTAGATATATTTTATTGTCCTGTGTATACAAATGTGCGATAAGGCTCAAATGACCATTCACCAAAATAAGCATGGCTAGTCAAGCAACTCTTCACCTAGAAAAGCACGATATTGCTAGCAACAAGTTAATATTGACCAATCAATTAAGTTGGCATAACTGTATTAAGTATTGTACACTGGAACAACATGTAATATAAACCATATATTAAAAAAGATAGAGGAGAAAACAAAATAAAACATCAAGAATCAGCGATCGCAATGATTGAACGGAGCAGCGTCAACTATATGCATTTAGTATTGGTAACAATCGAAACCCTGTTCTTCGGATAAATTAAAAGATATGGGACTTGACTGCTTGCAAAAGTCAAGACATCGGGTATAAATCTGTCAGCATGGTGCATAATTGATATTGATGTATCTGCAAAAGAAATGTATCTCCACTAAAACAAGATGAATGAAACACAAAAGAGATTCCATTGCAGTCGAGTTGTCCTTTTAGCTAAGAAAGTTACAAAAGGGTCATTAAGGTCAATATATGGTATGGGCGGAAGGATGGACAGACATGCGCTAGAACGCTAAAGTGATCTCTTAGTTTAAATTCTGTCAAGGCTGAGTGCACACAAATCATCCAGATATACGTTACCTTAAACTGCCCGATACGGTTATTTCTTTTTTTTAATCGATTGAATATTAAAGTGTCTCTCAACACATTACATTTTGTACTAATATCAGATATAACAAAGATATAATACAAATCTTTTATAAAGACAACATTTCTAAAGCTCTTTCTTAATGATGATAAGTCAAACTCCAAATTTGCGAACATTTGAGCATGTGTGTGATTGGGATTTTTAAAATAGCTTTGAAACGTTTCGGTCATGTCGCTTCTATGTCTGCTTTGTGTAAGTTTAATGTGATGTCTAGCACTCAGGCACCATGTCGTAGACATGTAGCACCATGTCCCACCCAGTTACATTATCCTGACACCAGTCCCACCAGTCCTAACAATAACCTCTTAATGACGAACATCAAGCAAGGCAGCTGTTTGTACTATTTTTTATAAGTCTTTGGTATTACTCTGCGGAGGTTCGAACCCATAAACCTCTCGCATCCGAGGCGGACGCTTTAACCACTAGGCTACGAGAGCGGTGAACATTTGAGCAAATTTGAATTTAACTTTATCCTGTATCATTTTCAGATACTGAACAAAACGTTATTTCTACCAGACATAAAAAATCAAGGGCCAGCTTTTAATGTATACAACTATTTTTTTGAGAATTTATCCTTTTTGCTTCATAGATTCAGCTAAAATTACTGCTTGATTAATCATTTTTTAGCTGCATTATAACAAGTGAAAAATCATACGACACCAATGTAATGGGGAGAAAAGAGCCTGGATCTGGGAAACTCCATGTTGGCCAACACAAACTTGGTTTAGGCACGACTCGTGCCAAGTCTCTTCTGTCGCGTGTCCAGATTGCTAATCACTCAGCAATCAATTAAAATGAAAAATCAACAACGCTGGTCTTTAAGAGCAAGGAACAAGAAAGCTTTTATTTTTAAGTAATTAAATATCTATAGATAATAGATACAAGGCTGGACAAAAGAAACAATTTAAAACTGTACTAAGATTTACCAGTGCTATGCAAGCTTCAACCATGCATATCGAACACGTGTTTGCTGTCAATCTGACATAACATGGATGAAAACAAAATAATCCTAGTTTTTCCCTACTTGCCTAGAATAAAGAGTTTCATAACATTTAGAAATTAAAATAATCCGTTCTTATTCAATATAACATTTTGGGCGAGTAGTATTAATTATACTTTTCAGTAACATTTTTGATCTATGACAGGTTGCCGGACAGTGTATTGTTTTCAGTTCTAAAGATCGGTAAAAAAAAAAGGTATTGGTTCTAAATAATCTATTTTCTATTCCCCCCATCTCTTTTCTATTGCCTCAAATACAGAGTCTCAGAAAATTCCATTAGAAAATGCCCGAATAATATTTACCCCGAGAAATCAATCCCACTTCTTCAGTTTCAATTATCATTAACTGTCAATCACATCTAGGATTATTCAACTTAAGTGCTGGTTGATGACTGAACAGGAAATGGACACCCTCTTTTCGCATCTTCTCTGAATCACAATTCCATTCTTATTGCATACTTCATTGCTACATCACTAACGCTGGCATCAATAGCTTTTTTCATTCATTAGGTAAGAATTTACAGCCATTACTTCAAGTTAATTCTGAAGCCTCGTGCAGTACGTGTTTTTTTTTTTATTTTAAAAAAATAATGAATGTACTAGTAATGAGACACCAACAACAGAATAATTTACTACACTTCTGAGAATTTTATTTCTGGAATAAACTTAGAGATAGTCATCTGATAGTATGCATGTATAGTTCTTTTTTTACGAATAGGATATCTTTTCAATTTTTGCAAACATTTTTTTAAAATAATTATTTCCATGTTTGAACAACACTGTTGAAGATATGACCGACCATATGACTTGGAATATAATAAATTGGCGCAGAAACGTCAGGCACATTTCTATTGCGCTGTACATCACGTGATGTTTAACATATGTCTAGCATCAGTTTCCTTTTCATGCAAAAATATGACAAAACTTGTATGTATGTATGTATGTATGTATGTATGTATGTATGTATGTATGTATGTATGTATGTATGTATGTATGTATGTATGTATGTATGTATGTATGTATGTATGTATGTATGTATGTATGTATGTATGTATGTATGTATGTGTCTGTGTGTGTGTGACGCGCATGTCTGTGTGTGATTTTTAACATAGCTTTAATAATTTTTCAGTCACATTGCTACGATTTCTGCATTTTTTGGGGCAGTTTATAGTGGTGTCTAGTACTGGGGCATCATGCCGCAGACATGGAGCATTATGTCCCACTCAGTCACATTATCCTGACACCAGTCCCGGCCCTAGGATATACGGGGCCAGAGGCAGAAAGGGATGAGCGCGGGGCCCTAAGCAAAAAATTATGTATGTATGTATGTATGTATGTATGTATGTATGTATGTATGTATGTATGTATGTATGTATGTATGTATGTATGTATGTATGTATGTATGTATGTTGTTTAACGTCACATAAGCACAACTGACTCATCACCAGATTAAAATTTGCTGCGTTTGCTAATTAACAAAGCACGTCATATAAAATCTGAGTATGTTATCTTGAGTCCATGTTGTTGTTGTTGTTGTTGTTGTTGTTGTTGTTGGGCTTAACGCCATTTTTCAGCACACGATAGGCTATTCATGGCGACCAGTATTAATGGTGGAGGAAGAAACCGGGAAATCACCGGTAAGAACCACCGACCCACGAGAAGCTACTGGCAAGCTTTCTCACATATCCACATTCGCCAAATCCTAAATTCCAACACACGCAGACAGAGGTGAGATGCCAGTGATCCGTAACGAACAGCGCTTTAGACCACTCGGCCACTCGGGGCCCCCCTTGAGTCCATGTAAATATGTAAATTAGTGTTGAGGTTTTAGCGTGAATTAACAATTTCGTGAGAAAATGGTTTGAATAATGTCGAAGTTTATGACGATTTTGAAGCATAGGGTATATAGTGGCAGTCGTCTAGGCGGCAGATATTAGGCCTAATTGTCCGACAAGTCCTAATTAGACCTGTCCGACATTAGGCCTGATTGTCCGACAAGTCCTAATTAGACCTGTCCGACATTAGGCCTAATTGTCCGACAGGTCCTAATTATACCTGTCCGACATTAGACCTGATTTTCCGAAAAGTCCTAATTAGACCTGTCCGACATTAGGCTTGATTGTCCGAAAAGTCCTAATTATACCTGTCCGACATTAGGCCTGATTTTCCGAAAAGTCCTATTTAGACCTGTCCGACACAAGACCTGATTGTCCGACAAGCTTTGTCAGCGATAGATGTAGTAGGCGTTGATAGGTATCGGAAAGTGTTAAGATTTGATTGAATTACGGAATATGTCAATTTACACCATACAGTGCCATGTGAGTATGTTTACTTGCTTTATACGTCCGAGTCCAACAGCAAACTGAGAAGACTTAGAAGTAATCTGAAGAACAAATAACAATAAGAAAAATTTTAAAATTATATAAAATGGTATTTGTATTAAATTTGCCTTCTAGATTGATATCTGGTTCACTCTTGCTTTGTGTTGACTCGATCCTTTTCACCACCAACCATCTGTACTCGCTTATAAGTCGAGTCTAACTAAAGACCCTCCTCACTGTACTCGCTTATAAGTCGAGTCGAACTAAAGCCCCTTTCCCCCAAAAAAGACAAAAAAACCCCACCTGATCTACATTCGTATAATCCGCTGGAGAACAAATCAAAAATATTGTCTTTCTATCTGGTTATTATGAAACATTTACATTGTTGCTGGCGGAACCGTTCTAAATATAATTTTCAAAGAACATATCCTAAGAAAAATTCGTACTAAGTCCGATCAAAATTGACTCGCCCATTCTAGAGAAGTTAAAATAGGTTTCCCACCTAGCTGATAAGGAAGCTACACCACTATGTACCGGTAAGCCACACTGGACTCAAATCTGGCAGTACATGTCACGCGAATTGTTCCTGCAAAATTGTATAAATGCTAACTCAGGTCTTCTAGAGAATATGAAAGCAGTTTTGTTTCCAAATATTTGTTATGGAAACAATGCAAGCAGTTTTGTTTCCAAATATTTGTTATGGAAACAATGCCACTGTTATGGGCTCCACCCCGCACACAATAGAACATCATAATATACGAAACATTTCTGCCATGTTTTATACAAAAAAATAGGCTTAGCCATTCTGTAAACGTTTAAAAGAAAGTTTCGATTTGGTTGCTATGGAAGCCAAACTATTGCCATGGAGTTATCTTGTGACTAAATGAAAAAGAGCATTCCCATGAAATGTTTAGCTAAAGTTATAGAAACCGACGCCTCTATTCTATAGAAAAAGGTGAACATTGGATTTCCACCAGGTTGCTAAGGGAACAACGCCATGCTAAAAAAAAAACCCACCTAAGACAAATTTTGAAAGAATAAGGCCATAGAAATACTTTCATTCAGTTTAATCAAATTAAATCATTCTGGATAAGAAGTTCAAAATACGTGTCTAGTTTCTAGTCGGTTGCTAAGGAATCCACTCCGTTACAGGTAGTCACACAAAATTTTCAGAAAACCTGCAATAAGAAACTGTCCTACCAGATTTAATAACAAATGGCTGACGTAATTAAAAAAAGAGGTCAAAACTATGTTTTTAATTTTAGTTGCAATGTAACCCACACGGTTGCTAGGGTAGCCACACATTATTACTACTTTGGTAGTGATCTCACCAAATATATTCATGTCATGACCAATCCAAATCAGCGCAGCGGATTTTGAGAATTTATAAATTGCAATGTTCACGGATTCACGGACAGGCATATCTGAACGTTCATAAGCAAGCGGTTTTAAATATATACGAACTAAAATTACTATAAACTTTAAGAAGAATACCCTAAAGAATAAATGCAAATAAAGATCAATTTTGATACAATATAACGATAAAAGTTCTTAAGGCAGAAATTCTTTTAAAAGTATGCAACATAAACCAGAAAGGTATACATAAAATCCTTTGAATATAGACTTAAATTGTTATAGGAATGAACAACGTTTTGTTAGAAAGTTACCATTTTTCTCTGTTAATAAATCCTTAAGACTCTTCATCCTCAGATTAAGACTAACAAAATTCAATCAGAGTGAATATTTGGCGATCTTCGTGTATGTGTCAAACAAACTAATTATGCAATTTCTATTTTGTTTGTGACTTTGAAATAATGTGTCTTAACCAGCTTCAGTAACGTTGTTGCTTTTGTATTCCTCATTCTAGATTGGCAAATACTTGAAACTTTGCGGATAACTGAGTTTTGACATCAAGGAAATTTTGTAGACTTTTATATGAACTTTGTCCTAAATATGGTTAACTGTAAACGACAGCACACCAATTCGCCAATTTGTATTATACAAATGGTATAATGTATTATCTCTTGCAGTAAAGTAATTATTTTTTTATACAGAGCAAATCCAATAAATCACAACTATTTTTCCCCTCTACTTGTTAGCACAAAGAGTGTTTTCTC